TCCTACTCATTTCAAGTGAGGGTTTATAGTGACACATTGGTGAAGATTAGTACACAACTGCAGGCAGATGCCCATGACTGATTCAATTGTTTGCACTGACACTCACAATTGCTGTAATTGCAGCTGGAGTGATAAAAGTCATTGCAAAAAACCAGACAAAGTGAAATCAACATTGTTCCTCAGAGATTTTATTAGTTGAAACCCAGAAATGCACAATTCACTGTTTTTCCTTGGTATGAATTCACCACAGTATTTCCATTTGCTATGCCTGCAATACTGTCCTCAGAGGTTTAACATAACATTCAAAAGGCCTCTTTAAAATCAGAACTTGTAACAGGAACAGCCAAGCATTCCAACCTCACTTGCCTAAAAAAAATTCTTTCCAGAAAAGTGATTAAAAAATAAAGGCAGCAAATTATTTTTAGACAATCAGTGCAATCCTAAATAAAGAATTTTTCTAAGCCGTAGCTTTCCTGCATGCCCCAAGCAGCGCTACCATTGTTCCTTTCCTCTTTTCCTCCCATAATGGCTTAACACCATTAATGCTTCAAGCTGGTATTCCTGATGACCATCTTCTACAGCCCCTGGAGAAAGAGAGAATGGATGTTTAGAACTAGGCAGTATCCAAAGCCTTCCTGAGAACAGATTACTCTGTAGCCTGCCAAGCCAGTTCTCACGCAGTGCTGAAGACTTCCTTCAGACCGCCTACACTACTGGTGTCTCAGTCCAAAGGAATTATGAGGTGATCCATGGAAGAGTTGAGGATTTAACACATTCACTACCCACTTACAAAGGAAAAATGATTCTTGCAGACGTATTTCAATGAAAATGGAAATGCCTTTGAAGCGTAACTCACATTCAAAAAGTATTTTAGCATTGCTATCCTGACTGCTGGGAAACTTCCATTTACATTGTGATTGATTCTAATCCTTCTATATTGGGTAAAATCAAAGAAAACCCCAAAACTTTAAAGGAAAGCAAAGAAATCTGCCTGATTGTGTCCTTCATTAATTTAAACCAGTACAGAGAAAATAAAAAATTCCAGTTGCAGTCCTCAATAACATCTCTCAAATGAGATGCACAAGTGGCCAGATAACCATCAATGCAGCAGAACCTTTAACTACATTTTGTGCTAATTTTAATAAATAAAGGAGATCATCTCCTCCCAATATTTAAATTTGGATTAGACTTGCCAATATATTGGAGAAATCTAGATCAACAATGTATTGCATCAGAAAAGAGCTCTGAGAAATGAAAGATGCATGTTTTAAATGCTTCCAGTTACAGCACAGCACTGGAGAAGGTCAAATGCCCCAACAAGTTCCCTATAGAGAGACTTGTCAGATCTGATGCTCTGAACATGAGGCACACACACACAGGGCCAGGGAAACACACCTTGGATGACGGCAGCACAGAGGGGATTCATGTCAGGCACAACCGCGCAGCTGCCTCTGCAGCCTGAGAAAGAAGGAGGCTGTGGCACTGTCCCCTGTCCTGTGCCCAGAGCAGCAGCAGCCCCTGGGCACAGCTCTCTGTGACAGAGCTTTCTGCAGTCCACATGTGGAATACAGCTAACTCTGGTCTGTGGCACGGCACACGTTTCCAATGTGGCTGACGATGCAACACCAGGAAATTGTCTGGTTTAGGGTGCTCCATTGAAAGCCACAAGGAGAGGCCAAGTGGAGATGCTGCAGGTGGCACAGTGGCCCCTCCTGAATGGCTGTGGTGGCTATGCAGCTGTCCTGAGGAAGGGAACGATCCTGTGCTGGGGCACAGCACCCTGAGAGCCAGGCCTGGCCAATGTGCCTGAGAAAAGGCATTTCCTCTCCAATGCGGGCAAGACAGAGGAGCCTTTTATTGCAACAAGCTGATGGAACATCACATTGTTGCCCTCTGGTTTTATTTTAGTAGCTTTTACATTCCCAACCAAGTTCAGAACTACCCTGTGGAACGCACAAAAAAGCATTTCCAGGTTCAGGCAGAAAGAATAATAAATATTAGCTCCACTCTACAAAGAAGGATTTAAGTACTCAGAGTCAAATGAGAAACCAAGACAGGGACAGCAGATGAACCCAGTTGTCCCAGAGTCTACTAGAGCTTAAATACAACATCCCTCTTCATACTTGTGCTGACGATACATTTCAGAACTCCAGCACCTGAAAACAAAATCTTACCTTTCTTATTGTTTTTGTCTAAGGAAGTCAAGAACCTCCTTCTGTCCTGTAGCCTCTGCCTGTAAGTAGAAACATGAGTAAATTCTGTCATCCTGTGTACCAGGACATGCAAATACTCACTTGTGGGAATTAAGA